GAAGAGATAATGCAATTGCAGCATGTGACAAACCTTTGTAACTCCACTCGCACTGGACGGATTCTTAAAATTTTTGCGGCTTGAAATCGTGAAAGAATAAGATTTTCTAGTGAATTACTGGTGAATTCTATTGAATTACATGGTTACTTGAAAAAGTGTTTCAGGGCCTCTTTCACACATTTTGTTCGACAGGTGTTACGAGGAAATCGAGCCCATTCTCCGATAATAGCGTGCCCTGGTCCAATGTACTGTGTGCGTGTTTGTGTGCGTGCGTTTGTATGTAACAAAAAATATGAATAAGCATGCACTTAGAGGTTGAAGGGTTCACTAGTGTCCAGATTTTGCTATCGCGTCCAACTCTTAAAGGCGAAGCTTAAGGGTCCCCAGTTTTTATTCTTTACTTTATTACTTTCTCGTGCAGTTAAATGAACTCAAGTGTTTTCAGCTCAATTTAAAAAAATCAACATGTTACCTTTACCGCTTTGTGGGAAGGAACTGCTTTAATGCTTCAACATAAAACATAATGCAACTAAACTGATCACGGATACACGCACACTGTTTCTTTCTCCTGTCAGGCGAGAATGTTCGAATCATTGACGTTCATGTTTAGAAGCCTCAACGTGGCGCGCAGGCGCGGTAGTGCTGCTGCACTATTTCGCCACAGCCTCAATTCTAAAGTGTTAAATATGGCGGTTTCTATTAGGTTAGTCGCATTATCTGTCATCATTTTTTTTACTAAGCGGTCTTTGTACAAGTACAAATATATGAGCCTTTTTGAATGCTGTGTTATATTTCAGGGGCAACTTCACCGGATTTTAAATTCGTAGTCAATTCATTAAACGCTGATATTGCCACTTACGTTACCGTAGCACGAATATATGAAGCAAAACCGTGGAACTTTGCTGCTGGAAAAAGGTTCTCCCCGCTTGTTACATTGTATGAATCAGAGACCTACCACTATCCGAGAAAATCATTATATAATCTCAACTAACAGTAATCTAGCATGCTGCAAAACATGAGTGAATCGATCAACAGCTCCAAGCGCAGGTGAACTGAATACTGGTTTTTGTTGTTGTTGAATACTGGTTCAAATGCCGAAACGAGACCAATCTGTCTTTGGCCACAGAACCACTTTCTTGAATCGACGAGGGTTGTGGAATGGGCTTGTTGGTCAGTCATATTGGAAGTTTAGTATGAGTAGCGCAACAACACACAAGCACCAGAAGAAACTAAGAGGGCGAAACAAAGAGCATGTCTCGCCCTCTTCGTGTATTCTCACGCCCATTTTTGCTGTGCTGTCCAGTTAACATTTCTTCAAAATACCTGCACGTGCTTCCTATTTTCCCGATTTCGCAGGTTGAAGATAATGGGATCAGATGTAGGCCATTCTTTTTTGACGAAATATTTTTCAACTTGCAGCTTTCACAGATTTGATGTGCCGTATTCCTGTTTCGTACTGTTGTGCGTTACAGTGGTATAACACGGCTACTGTTTCATTACGATCACTCAGGCGCGTACACGTAGTTTCAATGCCGTCAATAAACCTATACTTTGGTCCGTTTCCCCTTTATTCATTTATCTCTGTTCCGTCCACGAAAGGTTTATGAGCTCCTGTTTTGATTATTTTTTGAAGTACTGTTATATTTGACTTATTGTTTCAATGGGTATATTGATCGAACTCGGCATCTTTTTGCACGCGTTGCATTATCGTCCTCTCGGGGCTCTTTTAATTGCTTTGCTGTCGTTTTCTTTCCTTCGCATTCGTCGCTGGATAGAAGAATATAATCGATCTCTGACGTGGTTCGCACCTTTGGCAGCTGCACAAACTCTCTCGCTCTCCTAAGCACGTTTTAGTGGCCCCGGAAGTCTAATAACCGACCGAGACTTTCTATAGAAAGCCACGTGGCCTTGACCCAGAATCATAAAGTTCTTTCATTCCTCTGTCGCTTTCATTCTCTCCTTGTGCCAGCTCTTTGGCTAGAGATCACCTTCAAGCTTCCCTATGTTGTAGAAAAGCAGGTTAAAACTAAACTAAGTAGTGTAAGGGCAAAGCAACAAATTGCAATTCTTTCTTTTTATCATTTTCCCGTGGCGTTAATGTAAGCCTGACTGTTCTTTAAATAAAACCATTACGCAGTGCTTAAGGCGCTGTTCTGCTGAATTCGTAATTGCGGGTTCGTCCTCGGTCATCGCATTTAGATAGAGACAAAACGCTCAATATAATGAGCGGTTTGATTTAGGCGTTTCAAAAATATAATTACAAGATTGAAGAATAAAAATATTCTAAATGAAAGCAGCGTTTCTGTTAACGAGGCACTGGATACGGCCCGTAGAAGCAATAATACATGCCGAATGTGACAGGATCTGCTAAAAATCGGCAACTACCCAGAGGTCAACACCCTGCCTACCAATAGTAGCGCAGCTGTAATTTATTCAATGCTGCAAACTTGAACAAGGCATTGAATGTCACGTCGTTTTGGACTGAATGGTATGTGTGCTTTAGAAATCAATACGAGCCGTTATTATATATTTAAGGTAAACTGGTGGTGTGTAAACAGGGACACAGAAAGAACGAAGTGGGACAGACGTCTGTCTCTGTTCTTGTGTCTTATTTTCATGCTTATACCAGATTACCTAGAAGAACGAACCAACTCCCTCAGCTACAAGTTTTATTGAACCACAATACACCTTTGCAGGTTCCTTGCAGTAAATCGACACCTTATTATGAAGAAGACAGCTGACTTTATTGACATTGCCTATGTTGGTCAATACTGGGCAAACGTAAGCTCGTACTCGATGTTCTGTCGATTGAGATAGACGCGTACGGACAGACGCAAAATTACGGCTAAATAGGCAAGCAAATATTTGTCACCGAGGGTCGATTCCGCAGTTTAGCTCAAAATACTTTATTGATATTTTTCTGTTAAAGATAACAATATACAATAATATTCTTTTAAGCTTATCAAGAAATTAAACAATCAGAAAACAGACACAAAATTAAAGTTAAAAGGACTAAGTTAACAGACATAAGTGTGCAATATAAGGCCGAGGAGACACCGCCTAAGCGCCACATTCAGGGCACTGATTTCGTGTAGTGGAACATGAAAAAAGAGAAATTAGTATCGAACTGGAACTTTCATCAGTATTTTCTCTCTTTATGGTAATGAAACACTGTTGTGCGCCGGCGCTATGGATCTCATCTCTTATAATCGTAAAGTTTTTTTTTTCAATGAGGCTCTTACGACAGAGACTGGTTTAATTAGAGGCTGGTTCCACAAGGCACTGTTCACGTTTCGTTCACTCGCGCAATTATTACTCAAAGCAAAAAAAAAAGTTAGTATTTACAGCGTACGCACAAAATGTCCGCATGGTTTGTTCAGCACTGTTTACGCTCGACGAGATATCAAGAGACTTCGACGGTTCTTTTCCACCCAGTACGCAGTACTGCGGGTTTTATTGTGACACACCATTAACACTGATGAGAATGTGGGTGCATTAGTTCTGACACCTCGGTGACACTTTTTAAAAATTGGAAGCTGTAGGACTTAATTAACGACATTGTGTCTTTATTGATAAAGCCACATCGTTTCCGAAGAGATTACATCGTACCCAGTCCACCCGAGTAATTATGTGTGCTTATTTTTATTGCGATGCGCTTTCCACTTGGAAGAGAACGGTAACTTGACGCTTCGTACGCATTTTGCAGTATCCACCTTTGTCGACGAGACTATTACGATGTGCAACATTTATTTTATTTGTACTTTATAAAGTATTGCCAGAGATTTTTTTCCTTCACTTCGGGACTAGTGTATATATTATTTAACCCAAATAAAACCATAAACAATTCAATTCTTATACGTGGATCAATGAACAGGAACTCAGCAAGTGACTATCACTGTGCCAATTGTGGGTGCACCCCGATGTTTAATGAATGCCAAGTAATAGTAAGATATAGGGACAAGCGGGTGGGTGAAATACACGACGCGTTTTTGATCCGCAAGACAGGAAATGAGCATGTAAGTGCCCCGACTGTTATCTTGTTGAACTATGAGTACGAATATCCTTTTAGTTAAAATGCCATTTGATGATATGAATAAGATGTTTTGCACATGCGCCGCCACTTTCAGCTTTCTCGAAGTGTCATCTCCTCGCCCTCCCTCTTGATTGTATATATATTCCCGCTATCTGAGCAATAAAGTGGTTGTAAGTGGGCCCTATGCCCTATCCTACTTCTGTTCCGAAATTTTCGGCGCACGAAGAAAGTATATTTCTTTCATAATGCAATACCAACCAGCCCGAGTAGCCACTGTTTTGAAATGAATATTACACGTGTTCTCGTATTATACAGGCATCATGTCAAGTTAATGTCAGTTTAATGTCAGTTGTCGATACAGTGTTGCCCCCGAAGACTAATAAACATTAAATTTGTATTCACACAATTCCGCAACCTGCATTTAAGCGGTGCTAGATCCCGGAGGAATACGCTAACGAATGTTACGTATGATATTCATATAATCGCATGCCTAAAGCATGAACTTCGTTTCGATAACATAAATGTCTGTGTTTAAACGTGAGTGCTGATGCTACGTCCGAGCATTAGTTAATATTTAAACTTCAGTGAAGTTGGTGCACCTGGTAATTAGCCTAAGGTGTGCACAGAATTTCATTCACGTTGATCCAACTCGCAGCGCTTGGCTCAAAGCAAAAAAAAATGCAGCATAGACAACTGTCATGCGAAACAAGAGCTCGCTTAGTGCTTCGCATGAAACCGACTTTTTTTTTTTAATTCCTGGTTTCGTAGGAGATAAGCTTGCACAGGTGGGCTTCTTTTTAGTGAAGTTATGCTTGGGCCGGCGGTGCGTGTGCCTAGCCACACTACCACAAATTGTTGTTTAGAAAAATTTATTTACAGCATGTACAGAACACAAAGGCTTCATACCATTCCAGTAACAGGGCACATACACTTCGGCACATCTATATTTCACGACTAACATCACTACGTTACAGTGAAGACATTTGCTCTAATATACCAAAATTTGTATGCTCCTCCGAGCCCACTTTGGAGAAGGAGGCGCGCTTCAGCTTCTCGTAGTGTGATGGAAGGTCTTGGCACGGGATTGCGATCTTGGTGATCATCGCCAACTTTACACCAAGAAAGTGTATGCCAAGCAATGTTTCAAGAATGTACGCTATTGACAGATGGGGTGGAAATTGCAGAAGCAGACCAGTTTTTTTTAATTGATCTGTAAATGTCCCATTGAAGCAACCACACGTATGAGGCTATCACCTGAAAAAAGACGATCGGCTTCACAAACCTGTATGCGTAAAGGGCTACAGTGGCTTGCGGGTAACTAAATATCAGTGCCTTGCTGGTGAAAAGCTTTGGAGTGTACACTGTGAACATAAAAAAGTGTCATCATTGTGAACCGGCATGCGCCCTCTTCATTCCCTTCACAGTGAAGCTGTTTAAGCTATTAAGAACCGGCAGGCACTCTCTTATTTCTCTTTGTTGTTGAGTGGACTTTGACAAACGTTTACTTGCCCAATGGTAGTGCCGGGGGTCGTAAGCTGTTTAAGCTGTCGGCGACTTGTGTTCCGTCGTTGAAAATCCACCAGGTAGGTATATGCACCGAAGGAATTCGGCAAGTGCCACTACCGGGTGCACGAGGTGCGAGCGTGAAACGAAAGCTCTGCTTGGCGAATGGGAGCACAAAAAGCTCGTGAAATTAGAAGAGACGGAGAAGGAAAAAGAAAAGTGTGGGAGAGAGAAAGTGATAGAAAGAAAGAAAAAAGGCGAATCTTGCTATAAGTCGTGCAAGCCTTGAAACAGCGAAAGTAGACAATTCTGAAGTCCCACAAAACCACATATTGCCTAGAAACAACCTATAAAGAATTGCCTAAAGCCCAGCAGCAACCTAGAAGCAACGCAGCATGGCCCAATTCAATCTTCAACAACCAGCGCAGAGAGGACAAAGGATAAGAAAGAGAACGCTTGTCTTTGTTCTCTTTGGTGCCCTTTGTCCACTCTGCACTGATGGTTGAAAGTGTACCTCCAACTAGCCCAATCTCAGACCTAGCTAAAGCGTGTGTAAACCAAGACGCAACCTATAGGAATTACCTAGCATCACCTAGCTAAAGTCTAGCAACAACCTATAGGTGGTATTCACCTCCGAGCAACCCTGTGCTCCCGCAGCATACGCTTCGGCTATCTGCACGCCATGCGCAAAATGCAAAGAAGGCACTACTTCCGGCCGCCATGATTAAAGCCATGTACACATGTGTGCGCCTCTGCGTGATACTAAATTTGAGGCGTTTTTGGCGCCCACCATCTGTTATCACGTTTGATTGTGCTGTATTTGTGTGCAGATATCACACAAAATAGAAGGGTGACGCGTCTGAAAAAGCAAAACCAGTTAAATTTTATTCCTTGCCAAACGTTATTCGCGGTCATGTAGCCTGCCATACATGGCAGGTTGCGGCGAAGCGTCGTGGCGAGTGATTCAGCCGTCTCCGCCAGGCTGGATTTAACAAGGCTTTGGGGTGAGTGCTTGAGAGTGACTGCGAATAGAAACTCGGTAGAGCTCGGATTCTGACAGCTTTGAGTAATTAAGATGCGAACAAAACACAGTAACACGGTAAATGCAGTCAGTTTCAATGTTCTGGCAGAGACTTCTGCAAAAAGCAGAACACAGCGGAATACTCAACGTTGGACTATTGGTATTGATATATGTGCAGAACACTGCGAGCTTGAATGAGAGACACACGCTTTTGTTTTTCGCGGCTGAAGTGACCTGGCTCAGTATACTTCCGTGCAAGCGCAGGTGGCTTGTAATTTTAGTCTAGTAAATAATCTAATGCTCCTGATACTTTTCAGTCGATTGATCAAATCTGTGGGTGAGCCAACCACGTCGAAATTTCAGCTTCGTGTGCACTTTACCACAATCCCATGCAATAGTGTTTTCTCGTGCAAGTTTGTAAGCACTGTTAAGCCCGCCGCTTCAACTAGATTCGTAAAACATCGCACTAGAATCAAATTCATCGGTAAACGAGGCTTTAGCGCTTACTGATCGAATGTAACTTCAGATTATCTTACCTTTGCGCCCACAGCGAGGCAGACACCGTAACCTCTCAGCGAAGGTTCGTGGACAAACCCACTAGTCATGCATCCAACGATTTCTTGGCTTTGAGTCGTTTGTGTGTCACAAATCTTGTCATATATGCAACAAACAGTACTTTATATCCCAGAGTTTCACCTTCGAAACAAGTCTGGTGTCAAATGCGGCATCACCGCTCGTCAGAATGAGGGGCTCTACGCACACTGCAGAGAACAACTTTCTGTATCGCTGTTTAGCATCGGCGTCCAAGTTCTCGGCGTACACGCTCAAGCGAGTCGAGCACGCATCGCCCATGGTTCAGCAGCTCAACAAATGATAAATCTCATACCTTCTCATTCCAAATGAAGTAGAAGAAGAGTGACGTGCCCGCAGTAACTTGTGTGCACCTGTTGGAACCGCTGGACTCAACTGCCGGTTTGCCGCCGGTATGGAGGCTTTCAAAATGATGGCCACGTGGTTGCCAGCACAGCTGGCGCACTTTTCGCAGCCGTGCCCACCAAGCTGACGTCACGTGAGTACAACCTATACGCTACCTAGAAACTTCGCAGCACCCTCAATGAAGCTTAGCAATGACCTAGAAGAGAGAGACAGAGAAATGGAGAGGAAAGGCATAGAGGTTACCCAAACGTGGCTCGGTTGGCTACCCTACACTTGGGGTGGGGGAAAAGTGAGAAAGAGATGGATAAATAGCTCGACACTACACGGTGCGGTCTTACGTTGTTTTTTCACAAGCACTCGTGAAGTCCGGTGGTCAGACAAGAGAGCCTTCGTGGCTTGGCGCGTATGCCAGACCGTCGACCAAGGTCCCAGGAATCTTCCCTTCTGTAAGTAGCCGTGAGCTCAGGCGCCGAGCTTGGCTTCCATAGCACGTCGTTCATATTCGTATCACGGGCAGTGACATAGAATGTGCTCAAGCGTCTCCTCGACAACCTAGAAGCAACTTAGAAAAACCTAGCATTGCCTGGCTAAAACCTAGAGTCAAGGAGCAACCAGATTAGACATCAGAATCATATTCAGCCTCGCTGATTCATGCTCAGGTCAACTTGGTGCGAATCTCCCCGTTTCTTGAATCTGTTCAACCCTTTCTCGACAATGGTTGAGTCTTGTTACTGCATAGAGAAATGATTATTTCACACATGGTTAAAATAAGCTATAGCTGTTATGTGGCAACAGTACTAAGCCCATGACATTGAAGATTTGCGATATAGCAGCTGTAGTGTCTTTGCGGTCTCTCAACATTATTGCTGTACGGCCGTTCTAGGCAAACTAGAAATGACTGCAATAACGCGACTAATTCAAATTGTTCAAGACATCGTGCTCCTACAGGTGGAAGTCGTCACTATGTTCTCTCACTATTTCCTCTGTGTCCTCGTGTTTTCTATGCACACATACCGAATAAATAAATAAGTGACATTTATGCCCCTATGATTGTAACAGCACATGTGTACCGATCATGAATCACGGAACATACTAAACAGTACCGAGAAACTGAGGAGCATAAAGATGGAAAAGATTCTTTACCAGCGGCAATTGTTTTCTTTTCGCATGTTGTCTTTCTCCTTTCAGACAAGGCTGTAAAAACTGCACAAGATGAAGCTGGTGTAACGAACGGAAAACAAGTGGAAGTAGTTTGAAATCGTTTGTGCCAAGTGCACTGTCAGTGAAAATTTTGAAAAAGTGGCGTGCCTTCAAGCACAAGTTTACACGTTGTAATGTACTTTGAAAAAAACAAAACAAAAGCTGTAACTTACACATTGCGGCTCACTTTTGCACGGTACAGCTGCTGGTAACGACCTTACGCTTGCCGCGTTGTTTATTGCTTCGCTAAACCTTATAACTAACCCTCTCTCTGTAAACGCATGAAAGTTCACGCGCACAGTTGAGCCGAGATTAGAGAAATATGGAAGGTCCGGTAATAAGTCTTGATGTACAGCTTGTAAGAGAGCGAGAGGGAGGAACCATGTGCAAGAAATTTAACCAGACGTGTTTACGGTTGGATATGTAATGCAAATTACATAAATAAGGAGATAGTTAAACAAGGCTTTCATGTAATCGAAGATACTTGGGCCAGAAAGCACATTTTCGCGATGAAAAATAAAATGTCCCATAAAAGAGATTCTTCAATTTTAAGTCGGACGGTAGAGACGCAAGATACAAGGCTTTCTTTCAAGTAGAATGTAAATATTCACTCTGTATATGAATATCATACGCACAAAGGTACTAGTTGTTTCTTTCCTTCCTTGATAGAATGCAAATGTGACTCAGCTACTCTACCACATAATATGCAAGCCAATTCTAAATATGTAATACTTTAAATGAAATCGTGAATAAAGTTGAAATTTTACAATGAAAAACACGTTATTTATTATAAGAGAAACAGCTGGCTGCCACCGCAAAAAGGCACCAACTTCTCGCTAAATACATTTGTTAAAATCTTAAGAACCTCTAAACTAATCTGCTAAATAATAAGGCAAATTTTTCAGTAGTCGCGAAGATATCGGTAATTGTGCACGAACGCTTGTGAAGCGTGAACACATGTTCTTTTATAGCACTTAACGGTAATTTTTGTCCACCGTAGGTTACCGGACGGTTCTTAATGATCAGACGCCATATTTTCGTAATATTATCCCAATCTCAACGACCCACCTAAAAGTGAATATTTATAATAATACAGTAGAGTCTGCAATATGCGTGTAAGGAGCCTAAGATGCTGTTTTCGATGTCCGCCTCAAGGTGTCTTGTCCTTCATCCTTGCTTCATTGAGCAGTGTGCAGGTTTCATGCTGCTAAATGCTGTCCTATTTTGCCCTTCGCCACTCTTCCCCTACTTCTTTCTGGTCAAAGTGATGAACGTAGTGGTACAAGTCTACTCTGTGAGCGGCGGCGCATGTACCAAAACTTTATCTGAGGGGTTACTCTGAGAAGCAAACATTTAAAAACAGCAACTTACTATCGACCAACCCTGCGTGTATTCGTTGATTGGAAAGTGGCGTGATTATCATTGTTCGGGCACAACAGCAGCCTGCACTGACACACCCAAATGCTCT